ATTTGCGACGTCCTCACTGGTCTGCAAACGGTTCATTAATGGTGTCCGATCGCATATGACTGCTCTACTCTTGAATCAGTGGGTGACTCTACAGCGTTCGGATGATGTTGACTTCCGTCAGCTCAGGGAGTACGCGCTCAAGATCGACAATCAGACCAGAACCAAAGACCATTCGACGGGAGCAGATCCCCACCGGCAGCTCTACTCCGTGCAGGTGGGCAATCGCTCCTCTACTTCCAAGGATCGCAAGAGTCGTCCTTCTGGTAAGGATTCGGCCTTCAAAGAGCGCCGTGCTGCTCGGCAGGACGCCAGGAGTGCGGGAGACTCCTCGTCCCCACACACATCGACCAATGCAATCCGTTGTTACAACTGTGGTAAACTCGGGCATCGATCTTCCGAGTGTCGTCGTACCCGCCGCAGTCAGAGTCCTGACCGTGAGCAGCCGTCTGACTCCTCCTCTCCGCCTCTGCTTGGCGCTGTTCAGACTTCCGACGACCGCAAGGCTGCTCCGTCCGTTGCAGCTAACAAGATTGCTGCTCGCTCGAAGACGCCTAAGCGCCGTCCTCAGGTGCATTTTGCTGAAGAACTGGAAGATGAAGTGCCTCTGGACGGTGACGCTCTCGAGGTACACTTGCATCCGATTGCACTCCACTCCCTTGGCTCTCAGGAGCACGGGGCGTCTTCAGGATCGCTTCTCTATCTGCCCATTGTACCACTCACCTCTCCGGTGCCAGCTGCTACTTCCGAGATCCTGGCTTTGCTTGACTCGGGTGCTGAGATCAGTGTGATCTCGCGTCAGGTTGCGCGACAGCTCCAATTGACCACACAGCGAATTCCCGCCACGCTTACCGCTCAGTTCGCTCATGGCGACGCCAAGGTCGTGCTTCGTGAAACCTGTCTCCTGCCGTTTCGCATTGCAGGCACCAATGTTGAAACGCAAGAAACGTTCTTCATTTTGGACTCTCCAGCATCACTGCCGGCGATCTTGTCCCAACCGTTCATTGCCAAGATGAAAATGAATATCGACTTTCATTCCAAGCTCGTTACTATTCCCGCGCAGGATGGTACTGCGGGGCGTCAACGCCTTCCGCTCGCATTTCACATCCCTGGTCCTGGCTCCGCGGCTATGCGGCAAGCCCAGTGTTTGCTTTTTCCCTGGCATGCGGACTGGAACACGCTTCAGCCTCCTCCACCGGAGGATATGATGCCCTGGGTCATGGCGACCGTGTCCTCGCCTGTTTCTACCAGTTCGTTGGTCTCTCAGGTCGCCTCGTCGGCCTCGCCGCTCGCAGCTCAGGCCTTGCAGGAGCTACTCGAGGATTTTTCCGATGTTCTGGTGGACGAACTACCAATCCAGCCACCTGTCTCGCGGGGGCAGTATGACGTTGTCCTTCGGGTTCCTGATGACGTTCGTCCAATTCGTCGTCGTCCCTACCGACTTCCTGCGACGCTCCAGGAGGAGCTCGCTAAAACGATCGACTTCTTGTTGGCACGTGGCATCATCGAACGGAACAATGATGTCATGTGGCAGAGTCCCGTCATCTTTGTTCGCAAAGGTCTTTCCTCTGAAGGAGTTCCTCAATTTCGTTTTTGTATTGATTATCGAGGAGTCAACAATCACCTCCTCGACGACAGTTTTCCGCCTCCCGTCCCTACCGAGCTCATGGAACGGATCGGGCGAGTGCTCTCGCAGCGTACTGAGTCCAGTACGGATACCCTCTACTTCAGCAAGCTGGATATGGCCTCAGGATTCTGGCAGCTAGCTCTCACTCCTGACAGTTCTCAATATACTGGGTTTGTTACTGAACAAGGATCCTACCAATTCCGCGCTCTGCCCTTTGGTCTGAAAACGGCCACAGCTGCCTTACAGAAGTTCTCACAGGGCATCCTCGCAGGTATGGCCAACGTCTTAGTCTACGTCGACGATCTCTTACTCTTTTCCATGGGTAATCCTCGTTCACACCTACAGCAGGTGCGTCTCCTACTGGAGCGCCTCCGCCACCACCAGGTCTTCGTTAAACGGAGCAAGTGTGTGTTTCTTCAGACGCAGATCAGTTTTCTCGGATATACTTTGAATGCGCATGGGATTGCACCCGAGGCTAGCAAGGTTGCTGCCATCGAAGATTTTCCGCCTCCTGCATCTGTGAAACAACTTCGCCAATTTTTAGGCCTCGCCAATTTTTATCGGCGTTTCATCAAGAATTTTGCCAACTATGCTGCACCTCTCTCAGATCTGCTGAAAACCAGTCAACGTCGCTTCGTGTGGACTCGGTCTGCTGAGACTGCTTTTGCCGCGCTCAAGACAGCTCTTACGCAGGCTCCAGTCTTGGCTCACTTCCGTTCTGATCGGCTGACCATCCTGTACACAGACGCTAGCGACCTGGCCATTGGAGCCGCGCTTCATCAGATCGATGAAAACAACGAGGAACATCCCGTTGCATTCTATGGCAAGAAACTCTCCTCCGCCGAACGCAATTACTCCACCTATGAGCGTGAGCTTCTTGCTCTCAAGGAAAGTCTCCGTCATTTTTCCTACTACTTGATTGGTCGTCGCTTTCGTGTATGTACTGATCACCACAGCTTGATCAGATTGCACACCCAGTCTGAACTCTCTCCCCGCCTGGCTCGTTGGTTGTCTACCTTCCTTCAGTACGACATGGAGATCCACCACATCCCTGGCGAAACTAACGTCGTTGCTGATGCCCTCAGTCGGATCTCAGGCGACTCGCCTGCTCCATCGTTCGCTCCCCAATCACCCGCTGATCTGACTCAGGCTCATGATCGCGCTATGCGCGCTGAAGACATTGCTCGGGATCTTCTTGTTGGTCTTCATACCGTTCAGATGCTTACGGATTCCTCGTTCGTCTCCCAACTGATGCAGAACTACTCCACCTGTCCTGATTTTCAGGTTTTATACCAATTGGGCAAAGACGGTGAATTGCTTGGCCAACCGGGTTGTCGTCATTTTGAATTTTCGGATGACTTGCTCTACTATGTTGACTCTACAGGCAGGACGAGGATCTGTGTTCCTACCGCTATCCGCGCTGCTGTACTACGCCTAGCGCATGATGATGCCGGACATGTGGGTTCTGACAAAACCTATCTCTCACTTGTTGCCAAAGTCTACTGGAATAACATGAAGCGTGACGTCGAAAATTATGTGCATTCCTGCCTCATTTGCCAGGCTGCGAAGAACTACAAACAGAAACCCATCGGTTTGCCCAAGAGTCATGACGTTCCTGCTGACAAATTTGACGTCATCTCCGTCGATCTCCTCAGCGGCCTTCCGACTACCTCCCAAGGTCATGATTCTCTCTTCGTCATGTTGGACTCGTTCTCGCAACATGTCACGCTGGCTCCAACTCACAAGTCTGCTACGACCCAGGAACTTGTGGATTTATTTCTCCAATACTTCTATCGCACTCGTGGTCTTCCTGCTGCGATCCTTTCGGATAATGGGCCAAATGTCTCCTCGCATTTTTGGGACACAGTATTTCAGACGCTGGGCGTTCAGGTACGCCACTCCTCCAAGTACTATCCCCAGGCTAATGGTCGCGTTGAACGGATCAATGCAACCATTCTGGATATGCTCCGCACTAAACTCGCTCAGGGTTCATCTGAATGGACAGTCCATCTTCCATTCATTGAGTTTGCTCTCAATCATGCTCCCCGTCGTGAAACAGGGTTATCTGCCTTTCAAGTGGAATACGGCAAGAATCCGCGCTCAGTTATGGACTTGACCCTTGATCAGGTCCTTCCTCAAGCCCGCACGACTGTCGACAACATACGTGCAGGTGAAAACCTTGTTCGAGATACCTTGGCCTCGATCGCCAATCGAGCAGAGACGCGTCTACTTCCTTCTCGCCGCCCGCTTCGCTGGCAAGTTGGTGATTTGGTCTGGATCGACGCGCGTTTATTCAATCAGCAGTTTGAAATTCGCAAATTTCGAGATCGATACATTGGTCCTTTCCCTATCACCGAGGTTTGCACCAACAACAATTATCGAGTTGATGTTCGCCAGCGCTTCCCTCGCATGGATCAAGATGTTTTTAATGCCAAGTTCCTACGCCCCCATGTGCGCAGGAAAGATCATTTGCAACAGCCTGGGGTTTCCCAACCTGTGCCTGGATTCTACGAAGTGGCTCGCATCATCAATCATCGTCAACGTAATGGTGCGAAGCAATATCTGGTTCGTTGGAAGGGATTTTCCTCCGCCGACGACACTTGGGAACCTGTTGCCCATCTCTCGCGTACACCGGCGCTCCGTCAGTTGCTTCAGCAATATGAACAGCATCGCACGCGTCAAGATGCTTCTGCTTCTTCTCATGGACAGCGGCAGCGGCAGCGTCGTGCGCCTCTCAATTAGGAATTTTACGTGCTGCGCCTGGAGCGTGTCAGAGGAAAAACAGATTTGACAAGCTGAGAAAGCGAAGTTTTTCTGAGTCCTGAGCACTCCAAGAAAGCGCAGAGAAGAGCGTGTCAGAGCTCATAGGAACCGAGCCCGAGTCAGACAAAGGCCTATCAGGATGAAAGGACAGTTGGCTGTCTCGTACTCGTGTTCGAAGCTGACTTCTCCTGGATGACCCAGGATACTCTACTCCAGTGTGAAGCTGCTGAAAGGACCCCTGTGGAGGCCTTTGTTGCAGCAACCGTGTACCCGTGGGGGACTTACAAGGTAAACAGAAGGGGTGCGTCTTGTGCAGTACGACCCGTTGGAAGCAGCTTGCTGCCATGCAAGGACGGGGTTCTCTTCCCTGCGAGAGAGCATGGTATCCTCTCGAAGGTCAGAAGGGATGCTTGTCAACTTCCAAGAACAGGACACCCCTCCTTTCTGTAGCCAAGAGACGGCACCCCTGGCTCATTCCTCGAAGCTATAAAAGGATGAAACTCGTCAGAGCTAGGTGGTCCTCTTCCCCTTTCGTGTGTGTGTCACGATTGTTGAGACGTCTTTGTGTGTATCGTCTTGTCTTGTTTTGTGTGTGTGTGTGAAAGAAATAAAAGAGAGTTAGATCTCCTTCTGTTTCACCGCTTTCCCTCTTAGTAGAGAAATCCAACGTGAGTTCTTATTGAACTGCGCTTGAAGGTCCACTCGAGAATCTTCGAGGTGTGACAGAACTCTGCCTTGATCCCCGACGGCAACTCGTCGTTGTGGTCGCCTCCTCCACCGCTGATCAAATCTTACATCTTCACAGCTAACAAGTTCATTTTCTGAGGCGGTCTAGTGTCGATCTGATGTCTTTCACCAAAGAAACAATCGTTGGTGTCAAAGATGATCCCGTCGAGCAGAGTCAGGAGAACAGCTGAAAGCAACGTGGTCGCCATAAGTTCCCAGCCAAACCCTTCAGCCACCGTCGTGCTGATGTTGACAATCAACCCGAGATTCAGAAGCACAAAGGCCCATGATAGCGCAACGAGAAGCAGAAGGGTAAGGCCCATGCATCGAAACGACCTCATGCCATCTCGCAGAAGGGATCCGACCAAGACCACAACATAAATTTGGACTAACAGCATCACTTTGTCGTCAAATTGACGATCTCCCGTAGAAAGTCTGAGATATCTAAGCTGTTGTTGTATGACGATAAGGTCGTTGCCATTGCTCAGTTGGTCAGACATTGTAGAAATCATGACTCTCAATTGCACGCCAGAACTGTATGCAGAAAAGAGCAAGGCGCCGAGACGAGTGGGCTTGTAGGCAAACCTAAGAAGGGGCATCGTATGATATCTTATCACAGTTGTACCTACGAACAATGAAAGTAAGGCAGGGTATGCGGGAAAAGACGAAAGGAGACAGAAAAACTTAATGAGTCGATGCAAGTAAAATGGCGGAAAGGATGCTGGTTAGCAGGGAGCAGGAGCAGGAGCAGGAGCAGGAGCAGGATCAGGAGCAGGAGCAGGAGAAGGAGAAGGAGCAGGAGCAGGAGAAGGAGCAGGAGCAGGAGCAGGAGCAGGATCAGGAGCAGGAGCAGGAGAAGGAGCAGGAGCAGGAGCAGGAGCAGGATCAGGAGCAACACTGGCCAGGAGCAGGACCAGGACCAGGAGCAGGAGCAGGATCAGGAGCAACACCAGGACCAGGACCAGGACCAGGACCAGGACCAGGACCAGGACCAGGACCAGGACCAGGACCAGGAGCAACACCAGGACCAGGACCAGGACCAGGCAGAATCAGCAGCTGCTGCTCCGTAGGCTGCTGGAGCAGTCCGGATCATATTATTTTATGTATCCGATTTTCGGGATGTACCAGAGTTTATAGATGTTTATGTTGTATAATTAAATTTCCTATAAATTTTGCGCCATCCAATTATCATGTCAGTAGTCCTTCAGTCTAGCGACGGTCGGGCTCGAAAGGACCTGACCCGGTACCCTCCGACCGCACTCCTCTGGCCCACCCCCCTACCCCCTAATGACCATATCTAGCGGCTTGAGGTGACTAAGTGTGACGGGTACCTAGGACCGTCCCGGTACCTCATAGGCTTTGAGTTCGAACGTGAAAGTTGCGGAAAATGGGGGGTGGGGTGACCCCAGGCCGCTGCCAGCCTGGAAGATACTAGGTGGGTGGGGTCACTGGCATGTCAGACAAGGGGTGGGGTATTCCTGAAAGTTGACTCTTTCTATCTGGGATACCCCTGGTAGGGTCCGTTCGGGTGCCGTATCAAAGTCGAGGGGGTGGGGTAGTTATCCCTTTTCTTGTCAAACAAAATGGAGGGATGCTCATGCCATGGGTGGGGTGGTCTATTTTAAACTTTAGAGGGGTGATTTCCATAGGTAAATTGAGGTAATCATAGGGGTACTAAAAGATTGAGGGGTAGGGAAAAGCGAACGATCCATAGAGCGTCACAGGTACAGAACCGGTTGAAGGGGGGTGGGGTAGCAGTTTCACTGCCGCCGGTCAGAATGGCGACTAGGATCGGAAGTAAAGTATAGCGACAGGGAGTGAGAGTGAAGCGAGGCATGAAAGGATAGGCAGATAGCAAGAAGAGGATGTGCTTATGGCTCGCCGTGAAAGAAGGGAGATTGTGAAGATTGGTGGAAGAAACAAATGAAAAGGATAAGAGCAAGAAACGAAGCGAGGTTCGAATAAGTTTCAGAGTCATGGGGAAGCGCAAAGTGTGGTGGGATCTGCTGAAATCGATGCCGCATGAGACAGAAAGCGATTTGGGAAAAGTTTCACTCGAGTGGATGTAACATGATTTTGACGTGAACGAGAATGAGAGGACTGGTTGAACAATTTGAAAGTGAAGAACAGCACCACCTGAGACTTATTGCGCTTCACTCCGCGAATAGTCTAGTTACGATTTCTTGTCCGATACCTCAGTTTAATGTAACACTGTCACAAGTTCACCCTTGAACAGCAGTGTCGGAACTCACATGTGCTCATGATTTGTGCAGGCGGTTCTTTGACGGGCTCGCAGGATGGCATTGGATGAGATCAGCGCTGCCGCGAAGCATGCGCTTCATGAGTTCAATCATACGAGATCCGCGAGCATGAACAACGTGATCGGTGGGATGGAGACGATCGGGGATCTGGTGGTGGATGTTTGCGATGACCATGTTTACTTGAGCGCGGAGTCGCTGGAGGAGCTCGAATCGTCTGGAAGGCAGAAATTCAGCGAGGTCGCTCAGTTGCCCTCGCATCTGTTCGGCATCCGAGACGTGAGGTTGAGCTCCTTGATCCTCCCTGTCCTTGCAAGCTGACGAGGATCTTGTTGTGGCAATGCAGGTACTCCGATTTCGCGAAGCTGCGGCAATGCAAGCTTCTTCAAGCACCGCGCCATGGACAGCTCTCTGGACGATCGGAACAACATCTCGAAGCAGATCTCAGCTCTGATATCGGAGCTGGAGGAGCAGAAGAAGGCAAACAGGCGCTTGCTGGTGAGGTGACCAGGGAGGAGGAGAGCGGGCAGTGAGTGGGGATGCAGGATTCCTTCGAGCTGTTGAAGAGCTCGGCTATCAACAGATTGTTTGAGAACGAGGAGAAGGACGGAGCAGCGGAAGCGATCATCAAGTCGCAGGAGAGCCGGATCGCCGAGCTCAAGTCAGAGCTGGAGAGGTGCAGGTTGGAGGTGCAGGCAGGGAGAATTCGCATCCAGACCTTGGAAGGTGACCTTGCTCTCCTCCTCCTCCTCCTCCTCCTCCTCCTCCTCATCATCATCATCATCATCATCATCATCATCATCATCGTCGTCGTCGTCGTCATCATCATCATCATCATCATCATCATCATCATCATCATCATCATCATTCCTTTCCCTCCCTCCCTCCCTCCCTCCCTCCCTCCCTCCCTCCCTCCCTCCCTCCCTCCCTTGATCCTCATCCTCTCTAACAACAACTCCCTCTCCTCCCTCCGCAGACTTGGTCGTGGAGGCTCAAGCGGAAATCAAGAGGAAGGAGGAAGTCAAGGGAGACAAGAAGTCTCCTAGGGCGCACGAGCACCTGTTCCCGGGCCCCGGCCATTCCCTCTCCTTTCAATTCCCCCGGGCCACTAGCCTGAGCAGGCTGGAGCAGGACGGCTGGGCGCTGGCAAATACGGCTGCCTCCCCTCCCACTTCCACCCCCCTGATGTCGGCGGAGGATCGGTGGGCGCTGGAGAGAGCTCGGCTCCTTGACGAGCTGGCGGACACGAAGCTGGCTCTTGCCAAGCTGACGGAGGACTGCAACCTGTCTGCGCAGATGACGCCGAAAGGCTCGTCGGAGAAGTACAACGGGGCCAGCGAATCCCATCACAATGACCAACATCATGCAGAAGTATCTCACCTCTCGTTGAGCTAGCAGTAGCAGTAGGAGGAGAGTGAAGGTGACTGGGTGGGAACGAAACAAAATCGAGAATCTTGTACAAACAACCGGAAGTTTCAGCAGCTAACCCTCTCCCCCACAAGCACGACAGGCCTGCCAGGAGGAGGCCGCGTTGATCATTCGCAATCCTCCGCCTTGAGCAGGTGAGGCTTCAGCAGCTTCATCATCTGGAACGAGTCGAAAGGCTTGTTCCCAAACACCTTCGCCAGCCCGCTGCGATATCGAGTGAGGCAGGGAGAGATCGACGCAGAATGTGAGCAGGCAGGAGAGGCAAGGGTGTGCGAAGGAAGCGAAGAAAGAGAGGGAAGGAGAAGAGGAGTTCGGGAGGAAGGGGGGGAAGTTGTGAAAGGAAGGGAGGGAGCAGAAGGAGGCGGGGGGAGGGAGGAAGGGAAGGGGGAGGGAGGAAGTGACTTACTCGTCCGGAAGGATCTGTCTCCTGTTCTTGGGATTCTGACGATCCTTCTCCTTGATGTAGTCCCACAGCTGCTTCACGACCTGCGAGCTCGACTTCAGCTCCTTTCTACCTTCCTGCCCCGATCTCTCCCTCTCCCTCTCCCTCTCCCCTCTCTTCCTCCCCTCCCCCTCCACCTCTCCCTCCCCTCCCCTCCTCCCTCCTCCCTCCTCCCTCTCCCCTCTCCCCTCTCCCCTCTCCTTCCTCCCCCCGTCCTCCCTCTTTACCCTATCCCTGTCTCTCTGCAGAACCTCACCACCTCTGCACCATTACCTCCTCTTTCAACTCTCCCCTCCTCGTTGCGACTATCTCTCATCCTCCTTGAGTAGTACACCACTCATCTGCTTCCCTCATCGCTCTCTCCCACCTGTCCGCGCGGCAGCTCGTCTGCTCCCAGCAACGTGCCGAGGTCCTCCGACAGTCTGACAGGCTTCTGGAAGCCAGTCTGCTTGCCCGTCTTGCTCTTCTTCGGCTGTGCTGGGCTCTTTGCTGCTCCTGATGCTGTAGAGACAGTAAGAAGAGAGGAGGAAACGGACGGGAAAAGAGGAGAAGAGAGGAGAGGAGAGGGGGACACGGAAGAGGAGCGTGAGGGGTGCGGGTGAAGGCAGGAAGC